TCAGGAGAGGTCTGCCATGCCATGTGGTCACCTCCGGGGCAGGCGGGAATCGAACTCATGCAGAAGTGGTTTCAGCTTCTTAGTGCTGTGCTTTAACCCGCTGTGCCACCAGGGAGGGCCGGTGGTATGTTTTTTTAAGGTAAAAAACAGAGATAATAACCATGGGAGTTTTGAAAGTTTGTACAGAGAATGGTCAATTTATTTTTTAAAAGATTTATTTATGCATACAGAACTGGGGTAAAGGCCAGAGGTGCAGAGGCGGTGAGAGGTTTCACTGGAGACAGAGTTGGGGGCAGAATAGGCAGATCAACGAAGTACATTGCTGAGGGGAGCAGTGGGCGAGACAGGAGAGGTCTGCTATGCCAAGTGCATCACCTCTGAGGCCTGGGATCGAACTCGCACTGAAGCAACTGTGGCTAGCTTGCAGTGCTGTGTCCTAACCTGTTGCTTCACTGGAGATTGGTCAATTTAATCACTAATTTTCACTCTATTGTTAGTTGTAACTCATAATCTAATTATATGAAAGCATTCACAATTGATTTTCAAAATAGAGATGGTATAATTTAGAAGTAGACTTGGAAGCTCCTTCTAAGTGTTATCATTATCAAAAAGAAATACAGCTAACTTTTTTTTTTTACTTTTTACCTTTTTTTTACAGCTAACATTTTTATAGGAAATTCTATACCCTAATGTTGAGACTGTGATTTTGAGGGCATTACAAAGTAAGAATAAGTGGAATTTATTGTAAACAAAAATTAAAATTAGTTTTTCAAATTAAACAAGGTGATTTTGCAAAACATTAACACTGCTTTTAGACAATCAGATGTCATAACCTAAAAATATTTGACTACATGTAACAATTTAACAGGAAAATAAGAGTTTTGCCACTTTTAAGTAAAAGAAATTTATCACAGCTGATTAAATAATCTGTATAATGATTAAATAATTTGTGTAATGAAATAATTAACCACAGATCAATTATTATTTTGCAAAGCCATTTCAATACCTGAACACTTTGCACACCACTTTTTGGAGATAAAGCATGAGGGCTTTCCCCAGGGCGGGTGTACTCAAAATGTCAAGGGAACCCGTTATACACAGTATTCTTTGCCCCTGTAAGTGGGATCTCATTCTCAGAGACTACGATGTTGTTGTGTAACCCAATGCCTTGGTTTCATTCTAGGGGAAGTCAATGACCAATAAGCCACACTAAAAAGGGATACAAGTTTCCGAACTTACCAGCAATTTAAGGAGCCAAAACCGGGATTTATAATAGAAAGTTTTGGTGGGGTTAATGAGAAAGAAAGCCATAAATCCATAAAGGACAAGTGGATATACATATGTGGGGATGACACTAATTGGAGCAAAGAAGCATGCCAGAAGGCTCAGGCACCACAAGATCCCAAGGAATCCAGCAATCTAATAATGGGTGGGAAAGACAAAGAGAGAAATTGTTATTGTAGTCTTATCATTACAAAGAAAGATCTTACAAACTTTTAAATAGCTTATAAAAAAGTAGAAAAAAATGTTTAATCTTAGCTAATACAAACTATATTCATGGGACTTTATCTTGCTTTGATTACCTCAAAGAGATGTTGATGAGACAAATTGCTTCTAGGATTAAGTTCAAAGATGAGCACATGATTTACTCCAGCCTGTCTCCAGCCATATGTGTTGATGCCCAGCAGAAAAAGGAATTCAATCAGAAGAAAGCCACCTCGATAGATTCTTATCAAGGGCCATATATTTTTATCTGCTTCAAGTTTAAATACAGCTGAAAGAATATGAATTCAGTAATTAGTTAGAAAATTCATAGTTCACCTTAACGTGCTTTTATTTTCCAATAAGACAGAAAAAAAATTCCTGGATAGGAATTTTTCATAAATAAAACCTAAGCCTAGATTCTCTGGAGAGTGTAACTTACCTATGCATTCTTTCCCTTTTATATTTCACTCTGCATAATCTCATCATAGTAATTTGACTAATTATTCCACTAGTTTTTTATGTTAGAGACATCATGGTGAAACAGGTTAAAACATAAAATAGTTTTGTCAGTGGGGATTTCTGACATGACACTTCTTGACTTTGTTTTGTACATAATTAAATTGTATATAGTAATATCTAACTCACAGAGATGTTGTGAAAGTCAAAACAGTATACATGAAAGAAATGTAAAGATGGAAATAACAACAGTTAATATTTATAGAAAGATTACTATGTGCTAAGAATTGTTCTTAGTATTTTGCATTTAACCCTCACAATGGTTATATCAGTTTAATGCTATTTTCTCCATTTAATTGATAAGGAAACTAGAGTACAGAGAAGTTAATTTGCTCAGGGTTACCACTACAGGGCAGTCAGGATTTCAATTTTGCTTAGAACCCACATTCTTAATCTCTTCATTTTATTACTCATATACCCACTCAAAGATTTAGTATCACTATTATGTTACAGTTCTCTAATAATTATAACACCCTAATACTTTAGTCTCCTAAGTCAAGTTCTTCACAATCTGTTCCCCAACTCACTATTCCCACATTTACCTCACAATGCCCCAAATCACTAATTCTTATTTTCTTATGAATCTTACTATACTTTTAACAAGGTCACTTTTTCATACTCATTTATGCTATCTCAGTACCTAAAATCCAAAATGTCCTTGTTCTTTTTCTCTATCAATTCAAGCTCTACTTATTATTTAAGAGTTTGATACCTATCTATTTATAAATTGACTGAATCAATGCTTCATATGAGGCTATGTGCCAAATGTTTCAACTTAGTTAACAATTTCTCAATTTCACAAGGAGCTATATAAAATGGATTAATATCACTGTTTCGAACTTTAATTATAAGCTACCTTACACACTTGCATAATTTAAATAACCACTTATTATTTACCTTTGTATTTCTCTATAGTATATAGTATATTCAAACACTATAAAAATAACAGGACAGAGGAAGTCTTCACTTTGGAACAAATATTATAGACAAGATTTCAAATCTTAGCTGTATTAAGCAAATTATTTAGGTGTTTTAAGTCTCAGTTTCCTTGTTGGTCAATGGATATAATACCTATTTTCCTAAGTTTGTTAAAGATGTGTAAATGTGAATAATATATATTAAATGTCTAAAAAATGTTGGACCACTATGAGTTTTCAGTTTATATTAGCTTATATTTCATACTGTTTGAGAAAACATCATTTTCTTAATTTGACAAATATTAGGTATTTATTGTACATTAAACTACTTTAGAACTAGGATTCTAGTAATGAACAAATGACAAAAAATATTAAGATCAGATGAAACTATAAGCACAAAACTTTTATTATGTATGTCAGAAAGTAAGGCTTTGAAGATAAAATAAAAGGAGACAAAGTTAGGGTTTATTTTAGATAGAGTGGTTAAAAAGAGCTCTCAAGACAGAATCTATAAAAGGGTTTTAAGATAGATATGAACCTGTTATGCTTCAGGAAAAGAGAGAAGGCCAAGATCACTCACACTGGAATGAATGCGAGACTTTGGTGACAAAAAAAACTAATCAGGGACAGACCAAGTAGAGCTTATGTGAAGAACAGACTGTAAGGGAACATGTACTGTAGCAAGATTAGTTAAGAAGATATAAATAAAAAAACTACATGTTGTTTTATATCCTGCTTCCTAAGCAGAAACCAAAGATACAACAGTCAGGAAACAAAAACAATATATGTAAGTGCCAAAGAATGTACAATAAAACTCCCAGAGGTAATAAATTCAGCAAAAGTTATAGAGCACAAAATCAACATACAAAATTCAGTATGTGTTGCTAGAAGGAATCCAGTGTTTTTGGGTGGCAAGATTTGATGTTAACATGGTAATACTAACCAGTGTGTTCTACATATTAATATAACCTATCTAGTATAACAATAGCCATTTTGTGCAGCTATGGAAAAGCCCATCCTCAAATTCATATGGAATTTAATGAATAAGAAAACGTTTTCAGAGAAGTTTAGTAATCCTTAAGACCAAAACAATAAACAGTGGAGCTAGAAACTCAAGCAAGGTCTTCTGGATCCCAGTCAGTGTTCCTTCATCAACAATGAGCTTTTTTATAATCTAGGGGTAGAATTTTTTTTTAACTGTAGTATTTTCATGTATTTTATATAAATACTTTATTCAACTAAAGAAATATATCTGTATTAAAATATAACCTTAAAATACACCTATATTAAATCATGATTACAATTTAATAAATTAGAGTTGATTTTTAGTAACTGGTAGAGAAATACAACTGAAAACACATACTCTCTAAAAGCCATTATAACTTGGATTATAATTGTAATAAGGAAGAATGTTCATAAAGAAAAAGTGAGTTCATTTCTCTCTGTTGTTTATGCAACTTCTGTATCTCATTTAATTTCATCTCTGTCCTTCACTTTTACACATACTTCTATACACCAATATTATTTAAACTTCTATGTCTCAGGCAGTGTTCTACATACTATCCCTAGGAACTGGGGTTACAATGATAAGCAGGGGAGTCAAAGGCCCAGGAATCAATGAACTTACATTCCAGTAGGAAAACAATTAACAAGAAACATAAATATGTAGTAATACCTCATATAATTACAAGTGTTCTGAAGAAAATTAGCACAGGCTAAAGGGACAGAACAGGCTATTTCAGGGTTCAGATGATTAGAAAATGTCTTACTGAGAAGGTGATATCTGAACAGAGACTATATGAAGTAAGGGAGTAAGTCATATAGGACTCTTGGTGGGCAAGAGACTTCTAGGTAATTACAAGGCCTCATACTATGAAATGAGTTGCTATGCTCAAGGAACACTAATAAGTGTAGCTGAGGCAAGTGAAACTGAGTGTGGGGAGGGTAACAGAATATAGTCAGAAAAGCCAACAGGGACAACAATATCCTGCAGGATCTTGAGGCCACAGTAAGAAGTTTCAGTTTTATTGTAAAAGAAGTCATTAATAGATTTGATATGATATAAATTACTTTTTAAAACTAAAGGCCTATGTGACAATAAAGAAGCAAGAATAGATAAAGACCAAAGAGAGAAGTTCAAACATCTGCTACTAAGCAAGGAATTGTTGCTTAGATATGGATAGCACTGGTAAAGGTGATCAAATTCAGAACTATTTTGAAGACAGAGCAATAGAATTTGCTGATGGATTGGAAATGAGCTATGAGGGGAGAGACTAAAAGGCTTCCGGCTTGAGCAACTGATGGAATGCAACCAAAGAGAAAATGTATTTGGGGGTAAAAATAATTTATCTAATAAGTTTGAGTAGCCAATTAGGTATCACACAGGGGAGAGAGTATAGATGCTTAGGATTCATTAGTATATAGATGGTACTTATAGTCATAGGCTTAAAAAACACTGCCAACACTGGAAATGAATATAGACAGAGAGAGATATAAGAATTGAGCCCAGAGGTATGCCCCAATATTTAGATGTCACCAAAAAAAGTCAGCAAAAGAGACTAGAATGATTAACAAGGTCAAATGCTGCTGAGGGTTGTATCAATTTCTGCTGTAAGATTTTAGTTCAGATTATGCTTCCCCTGCTGTTAAATCATTTCTTGATATTGGTAGTGTGGTTGTTTCTAGCAGTTCCTCCTCCCTCTTTCTACCCTTTAACTTACATAACCACATTTAAAAAAATTTATATACAGAGTAATTGTAACTATATTCTAGGAAGAATGTAAGAGAATTTTCAAAAGTAGGTTTGATTTATTTTTCTTAATCAACAATAGGACTCTTAAAAACTCTACTAAATTTGGCCCTCCCTGGTGGCGCAGAGGGCCACTAAGAAGCTAAAGCCACTTCTGCATGAGTTTGATTCCCTTCTGCCCCAGAGGTGACCACATGGCGTGGCAGACCTCTCCTGACCCGCCCGCTGCTCCCCTCAGCAGTGTACTTCGTCTATCTGCCTGTTCTGCTCCCCACTCTGTCTCTGGTGAATCCTCTCACCCTCCACATCTCTGGCCTGTACTCCAGTTCTGTATGAATAAATAAATAAATCTTTAAAAAAAAACTACTAAATTTTATTTTTTTTTAATTTCTTTATTTGTATATATTTTACATTTGGTACAGTCCCCATAGGATTTTGACCACCAATTTACCTGTTATTATCACCCTTGTATTCTTCTAATTCTTGTTTTTTACTACCTCCCTCCCCTGTAGAATGTCTCTGATTTGTAGTTCTTTGATTATTTTTGTTTAGTTTTGTTATATTGTTTTTTTTTTAATTGTTGTATTTTCACCTGACCCCTTATTTGGTTTCCCTATATTCCTCCTGTAAGTGAAACTATCTGATAATTTTCTTTTTCATTCTGACTTATTTCACTGAGCATAATCCCTTCAAATTCTGTCAATTTTGCCGTGAATGGCATTCGATTATCTTTTTTTTTTTGGCTGAACAGTATTCCATTTTGTACATGTACCACATCTTCTTGATCCAGTCATCTCTTTTTGGGTATTTGGGTTGTTCACGTCATACCTATTATAAACAGTGTTGCAATAAACAAAGGGGTGACTGTATCCTTTTGAATTAATGTTTTTCTGTCCTTGGGTAGATCCTGAGGAGTGGAATTGCTGGGTCAAATAGCAGCCCCACTTTTAGTAGTCTGAGGAATCTCTACACATTTTCCATAGTGATTACACTAGTTTGTACTCCCACCAGCAGTGGAGGAAAGTTCCCAAAAGTAGATTTTTAACACATAAATTTTATAAGATCTTATATAAGACTAAGGGAAGTGAAGTTCTTGGCTTAAATCAATTCTGAAAAAGTCTAAAATATTAAAATAAAAACTAGAAAATGACAGAAAAGAAAAATTCATAAACTAGCAACATATTTAAAAGACAACTGCACCTAAGGTGGGGGAAAAAAACAAGCAACACCAACTTTTCTCACCTTGCCAAAGAAAAAAAAATTTAGGCCTGACAGATTGTCTTCTCTTTTGGTAACTTTGATAGAAACAAATTTGATTTCTTACATAAGGATAGAATACATCATAAGCAAATAGTAAGAACAAATTAATTCAAGATTTAAAGTACTTACCGGCAAGGACAAGGGTAATATTCAATACAATGAATATTCCACAAAATAGGCCAACTCTAAAAGTAGTCCATGCTGGTGCAGGCTGTGGACAGAAAAGCAGCATTTTGGGTATAAGGGAAAATACTAAATCCTTCAGTATATGTTATAATAATTAGTATGAATCTCAAAATTCTACCATGAGAACAATTATTTTAGGATCTGAATTTTTATAAATCTGAACCAGACAATCTTCCTTCACTATCCTATAATATTAGAACAGAACTGCCAGCTACTCAAATTCTTTTACAGAAGTCTGAGTTACTAAATAAACAAGATTATATCTTAGGTATCAAATATATATGAGTTTTTCTTAAAGGAGAGACAAGGTGCATTTTTATTCTTATAATGTATATCTTTAAATTTTGTAAATTAGTATTACTCAGTTGAAGTTCACATATTGGTACTATCAATAATAATTTAGAGACAAAAGTGAAAATAAGAATACTTATTTTCTGACAGTAGAAAACACATTATATCGGAAAAATTTAAAAACTTTTTCCTATTATAATGTAACTTTACATATTAGAAAATTATTTTTGTTATTTATTTAAGATTTATTTTTATTTATTTATACATACAAGAACTGGGGGATAGCCAGAGGTGCAGGAGGTGAGCGGATTCACTAGAGCCAGAGTGGGAAGCAGAACAGACAGATCTACTGAAATACACTGCTGAGGGGAGCAGGAGGTGAGACAGGAGAGGTCTGCTGGGGTTAGCTCTTTGCCCGAGGATCGAACTCATGTCACAGTGGCTGGTGAAAACTTGATAGTGCTGAGACTTTAACCCCTGCACCATCAGGGAGGCCCAGAAAATTATTTTAAATGTGCAGTTTTCTAAAATAAATAAAAGTATCTGATATTTTAAACATAAAGGAATGAGAAACATAGAGATAATCTTATGTATTTAAATATTTGCTACGAATGTTATAAAAACCTCTGCAGTTTGAGGTGATATCAGACTTAAGATAAATGTTTTCTAAAACTCTTCAAATGAACAAAAAGCATTGATACACTTACTATTTATCAGTGACAGATATCTATGTTCTTAGTTCAGGACAAATGTATCTTGCACATCTTTTGTGTTTAAAATTAAAATCTAATTTTGTCAGATCAAGTCCTAAATATTTCAATTTTGATTGCAAGAAGCATGGCTTTTAAAATTTTTACTTCAATTGTTTCTGATGTATAGAAATGCAACTGATATATTGAATTGGTATTCTGCAAAATTCACTGATTAGTTTTAGTACCTACTGTATAGATTCACTTGATTTTCTATTCAGGTCATCTCTCTAATATGAGTAATTTTATTTCCTTTTCTTACTTTACTGTACTGGCTATAATCTCCAGTACAAGGCCACATAGGGGTGGTAAGAGTGAATATTCTTTTTTGTCACCACTTACGAAGAACACTTCAATGCTTTACCACTAATACAGTATTAACCATAGGCTTTTTTGTACATCCCTTTTATTAGGATGAGGAAGTTAGTTATTGATTTCCACTGCATTGTGGTGAGAGAAGATACTTGCTATGTTTTAAATTCTTTTACATTTGAGACTTGTTTCATTCACAGATGATAGCACTTATAAATGTTTCTTTGGTATAATTATTCTGCGGATATTGTTTTATAGATGTATTTTAAAAAATGACTACTGTGTTTTAGATAAAGCTTTATAGTAACACACAAACACATCAAAATTTCCCTCTCCAATATCATCAAATAAATATCTTAATCATTTGGTAAGACCAAGAAGAAAAAAGTAGGAGGATACTACATTCATTCTGGAAGGATAATTCACTAAGAAGTGAGATCTGGAATTGAATTTTTAAGACAAAAAGCTGTAGTGGCAACTATTTATAAATTTTGGCTGAAAGTTTTTGAAGTAATGAAACTAGTACATTTTACTAGCAAAAGAGATTGTGTTGGTTGCTAGCCAGAAAAACCACCCAACTGTAAGCAAGCACTAACCTGAGCAGCTCCCAAAGGTGGGACCCGTAAACGCTTCATAGCCTTTTGTCTGTCACCATCTTCAAGTTCATTGGTCACCACAGCCTAGAAAGATGTATTATTAAATTCTGACACATTTTATTAAAATTGAGTAATGTTTAAATTATTCTGAACTACATATACACATTGTATTCAGATAATCTCTTGGTGAAAAACCAAGAGATAAAGCACTATGAATAGGAATATATGTCTTCAAAGTTAGCTACTAATTACAAAAAGAAAACAGAAAAGAGGAATTATTTCATTAAAAATAAGATATGAATGTGCTACAGAAATAGGATTATTGTACCTCTGTTTCAGAGATGAGCTGGTTGATTTTCTTGCATGTATAAAATGGAGCCACTTCTACATGAGCTACTCGCCAATCTGCTCCACGAGATGTTTCCAGGATCTTGTCATGCTTTTTAAGGATTTTTCGAAACCCTGTAAAATTCAGATTCTAGAGAGAGAAATGAGAGACACTATTATAATTTCTACTACCAGAAAAATAAAAAAAGGAAAATTAATAAGCACTATAAGCACTATGCACTGACTAAGCTGACCGGATGAAAAATGTTTACTGAGGGAAGTGGCAATACTTTCATGAAAGTACTTAATACTAAAATGTAAGGCTCTGCATTCTCATTCCATGTATTCATTTCAATGCAATACACTATCAGTGATACAAAGAACCCCTATTATTTCTATTTCAAGTAAATTAATGAAAGTACTAAACTCATCATTTTTACTTCCATGTTGTTATATCTAGTTGTTTTCAAAATAACTGATTTATATTATTTTTATTTTTTGATAAAAAAGTATTTTCAGAAATATTCTGGTTTTATTATGCACTGAATATATCTACTAGATTTTTTTTTTTTACCTTTGAAAGACAAGTACAGCTGTGCCTCTCTCCCTACTGTGGCAGCAAGTATGCACCAGTATGGAAAAAGAAAAGCTACTTCTCTTTTATTCTCCTTCCATGCATTTTCAGTTTGAGGATGAGAATGAAGAAAAGTCAGTAGAAAGAAGGAAAGATCATACAAGATTTTGTTGATAATGGGTAAGGAACTCTTATTTTTATTTCATTTCTATATATCAACATTCTATTCTTTTCTACATTCTCATATTATGTTCTTTGTCCAACATGCCAAAAAAAAAAAAAAATCAGGGAACAGTGGATTTTTGAAAGATTCTTTAAACCAGGTCTTCCGAGTTGTTGTTCATGTATTGCCATCAGTGAAAGAAAATCGAGGACTCACTCTCAATCAGGTGTTACTTGCTTGTTTCTCTGTAATTTCTTTTTTCTCACAAATTAATGAATCACCCTGAGATACTCCTTGGGGTCATACCCCGTGACTTGGAGACTGTTTTCAATCAATTTTTCTTTCTCTTTATTCTCAAAATAAATGTATTCCTAGAGAACAGTCTCAAAAAATGGCAAATAGATTAGCACCTTTATAGTTTGTTTTTTTTTTTAATAAAAAAACATTTTTGCATAGATAAACTAGGGATTAGGCCAGAGGTGCAGGGGGTGAGAAGAGTCAAGGACAGAGTGGGGAGCATAACAGGCAGATTTACTGAAATAAAAGCTGAAAGGAGCAGCAGGTAAGACAGGAGAGGTCTTCCTTACAACATGTGGATTAGCTCCCTAGCTGAGGATGGAGCTCAGGCCCTAGCAGTGACAGCACCGAGACTTAACCCATAGGCCACCAGGGAGGCCCAGAACCTTCACCGTTATCAGCTATTCGTGTTTTATAAAGTAGATTCTAATGATTCCCCCAGACAAAAGCTTCTGAGAAAGTTAACAAATAAAATTTAATAAGCGTACTTCCCTGTAATGTGTAAGCATGATCAATGAAGGTGAAATGTTAATGTTTTATGGCATTATAGTAAAGAACACATTTGCTTCTTTTAAAAAATAAATTATAAAGCTTTAAGTAAATTTCAAAGGAAAGACATTTTCTATCATATATATTATACAATTTCTATTCTTCTAAAATTACTTTCAGCTGGGTATTTTTGAATAACATTAAATCACCAAGGAAGAAAGCAGAGTTGTGAAAGGGAAAAGTAGAAATACATGTATTAGCTACTTAGATTAGTACAGATATGAAACTATATTTAAGATTCCAGTTTTTTTTTTTTTTAAAGATTTATTTATTTGTACATACAGAACTGGGGTACAGGCCAGAGGCTCAGGGGCGGTGAGAGGCTTCACCAGAGACAGAGCGGGGAGCAGAACAGGCAGATTGACGAAGTACACTGCTGAGGGGAGCAGCGGGCGGGTCAGGAGAGGTCTGCCTCGCCATGTGGTCTCCTCCGGGGCAGGCGGGATTTGAACTCATGCGGAAGTGGCTTTAGCTTCTCAGTGCAGTGCTTTAACCCGCTGCGCCACCAGGGAGGGCCAAGATTCCAGTTTTTACTGGTAATGCTTTTTGTTGTATAAACTTAGTTTTTATGTAGGGTATGATCTTGTGATGATCTTCACCACTGATAGACATAATCATAAGAATAAACTGAGAAAGAGCAGTGTGTAAGGGCTCTCTAAAGACTAAGGAGCTATTTTTACATACTTAAATGCTTATTATTGAACAAAATCTGTTTTTCAGTATATTCTTTATATATTTAACAATGTAAACAAATCTACAAAGAATTACAAATGATTAAGTGCCCTGCATCTTCTTAATTTGGCATACAGGGCATTTTAACTTTCCAGATTGAGTTTGAAAAATACTCAGTAATTTAACAGTCTATAGATACTTAGTCTCCACACATTTGTACAATCTATTTCTATCCCTTAACAAGATTGAAAATAGTTATCTGCAGCCTGTGACTAATAAAACCAAAGAATTCTGAATGACAGGCTGAAAAGTTAGTATTTTTTATATTAGTCTTAGTTGAAGGAAAGTTAACACTCTTTAACCACTTTTGTGGAAATTTTACCATAGGTTAAAAAGAATCTAAAAGTTCTTACAGCCAACAGTGGCTGAGTAGACATACAGTATCTATTATTTCTCATTTGCACTACCAGCAGTGCCAGAGGTACCTGTAAAAATACAAAGGAAACTATCATCATTAGGCCTTGAGTCAAGGGCTACTCCTGAATTATTATACAAAAAGGTTTTAGAAAACTGATCTTCAAACAGACATCTTATTAACCATATTGTACTACCTCTGATACATGTTTGTTAGCCAATAAAAACAGCTGAAACTCCAATGGGAACATAAAGAATAATGACATGATAAGGATGAATCCTTTTTTTTTTAAAAAGATTTATTTATTCATATAGAATTGTAGTACAGGCCAGAGATGCAGAGGGTGAGAGGATTCACCAGAGACAGAGCGGGGAGCAGAACAGGCAGATCGACAAAGTACACTGCTGAGAGGAGCAGCGGGCGGGTCAGGAGAGGTCTGCCATGCCATGTGGTCACCTCCAGGGCAGGCGGGAATCGGGAATCGAACTCATGCAGAAGTGACTTAAGCTTCTTAGTGTTGGGCTTTAACCCGCTGCGCCACCAGGAGGGCCATCCTTTTTTTTTTTTAAATCTTATCATGGTCATTGTATTTATTATACTTTATCAATTATTTAAAGGTTACAGAATGGGATCATTCTCTGTACCTGATAGTTCTGCAGCAGGATAAGACTGAGGTAGAACTCGCTGAAGGCCAGTTTAAGGTCTTTAATATTCCTATGTTGTACACGTTCCTCATGGGACAGGTGGAAGACTGGCTTTCTGCGTTGTCGCAGCGTAGTGACACCAGTGCTTTCTTTCTGCACATCCAGTGATGACTGAAGCTCATTCTGAAGAGTAGCAAACCTGCGCTGAGCCTCTGCAAGCTTTTCTATAAGAAATAAAGCAGAAATGTCAATTAATCAAGATAAAAAAGCTGGTAAAAGGTCACAGTGACACCTGATTTTCTGCTAATTATTCTTGTTTGTTTTACTAAAATTTCTAGGGAAAATAAACATTACATGTAAGATTTAAAACTGGATTGGTGTAATATGCTCCTTTCATTCTGCCTCACTTTCCTCCCTGCAAAAGCTCAACTATTACCTTTTCATTTTATAATTTACGAGGCTACTGAGATTGAGAATACAAATTACACTGGAATTTGAAAAAGATTTTGGTAGTTCTTGAAAGGCTGAGCAGAGTTACTTTAAGATCCAGCAATTCCGATCCTAGATATGTACAAAAAGGAATTGAAAACATGTTTACGCATATTCATGGTAAAAATAGAAACAACTCAAATATCTGTTAACTGATGAATGGATAAATAAAATGTGTTGTGTGTACAATGGAACAGTATTCAGTCATAAAAAAAGGAATGAAAGTACAGATTCATATGACACGGATAAACTTTTAAGAAGATAAATAAATGAAAGAAGTCAGAGACAAAATTCCACATATTATATGATTCCATTTATATGAAATGCTTAGAAAAGGCAAAACACAGAGAGACAGAAAGTAGATTATGGTTGCCAGGAACAGGGGTGGGAGGCAAGTGGAGGAGAAAATAGGGAGTGGCTGCTAATGAGAATGAAGTCTTTTTGAGGTAATGAAAATGTTCTTAAATTAGATACTGGTGATGGTTGTTCAACCTTGTAAACATACTGAAGACAGCTGAATTGTATACTTTGAAAGGGTCAATTCTATGATACATAAATATCTCATTTTTTTTTTTTTT